TGACTGAGATTTGATGCATGACACATTTTCATCATCATCATCATCAATACTACTTCTACTCCCTGCTTGTTCGTCGCGACTGCTCCTTCCACCAGCTATGAAATGCAGTTATTGTGGCATACTGTTGGTGTTGGCACCTCTGGCGGGGACCTTATGCATGTAATTCATGTGTGGGCTATTGTATTTTAACGGGGCTGCTGTCTGCTGGGTTTTGTCAACATGGGTCAGTGATAGACATTTTATGTGCTAACTAAAATACAATTTTTGTGACTGATAGTGACATTTGCCAGATAACTAACGGTATTTCTCTCAGCAGTTGAAGACAATATTTTCGGGAGATAATTAACAGTTAAACTTTGCTGTTATTCTCCCTTCTGACCACTGGCTGTTGGGTATGATGCTTGCCTCCTCGTTGAAGATTACAGACTACTCCAAACCTAGAAGTTAGTTAGTCGGCAGATTATCCTCGAAAGATAATCCTTGCACGTCCAACCACTCAGTCCATAAGTGTTCGGATCCCCTCAGTAAAACCCGCAGCTTGTAGCTACTAACAACACCAGTTTTGTGTTGGTTTATTCTTCTTCTTTGGCTACCCACGTAGTGTTCTTGTTTGGCGAAATCCCGTTTAACATGTTGTTCTTGCTTTCTGACCATGGTTTCAGATTCGCAGTTCTCTGTTGGTTCACACAAACACGCCTGGAAGTGTAACTGGTATACTAGTTTAAAATTCTCCTCTCCAGGACTATGTACCGAAACACCCAGTGACTCAAAGAGACACTATTCAGATGAGAACCCAACAAGAGGATATCCTAGCAACCATGTTCAGGAGTATAACACAGTCATTTTTTAAGTTATATGCAGGACTTCTTTTTCTTTACTTTCGCACCTAAAAGAATGGTTGACATATTGTAGTTTACTACTAGATTATGATATCTGCTGCTTTCAACCCCTGACAGCTGATTTCAGCGAACCCTTTAGTAATCGCATTTTACGACATGCTTGTCGAAGTCATTGGGTATATTTCCTAACCCTCTCCCCCTCCCCAACACCCCAATTGGAGCTCTTGAACCCACACAGGGTAATTGGTGTGGATTGATAACTATTGGGAATATAGCACTAGACTGAATATGTAAGTACGTAAAAGTAAAGGACCCTTTCCACGGCTTTAGGCGTATAGGGCATATAGGGCTAGATGTGTATATTTTATAGACCAACGGCACAAGATGGGTGATGTGGTCAGCATCACGCTGGCCGCCTCTACTTCCTGGGACTGCCCCCGGTACCCACTGGAGGCTGGGTTGAACTGGGAGCCAAGGTCATTTTTGAGCGAACCCACGACCTTCCGATCCGCGGCGAGCGTCTAGCTGCTCCGCCACGGCGACTCCCAGACTGGATATGTATTTAGACAATTACTTTATCTTCTTCCCTTTCGCCAATTACCTCAGCAAGGTGTTGAAGGGAGATGTAAGGATCGTTTCTTCACTTTTTCCAAAGGGTTATTCAAGTTTGTGTTAATTTCTGTTAGGTTGCTCATAATGATGTCGCTTCATCTTTTGCATGGTCTTTCCCTTTTTATTTCTTCAGCATAGTTTTCTGTGGCAGTTGGTTCCAGGGCATTCTCGTCAGGTGGCCAAACCATCTCATTTGTTGTTCTTTTATGAATTGTACCATTTATTTCGGTCCTAGTCTTGTTCTAATTTCTTCACTCTTAATTTTATCTCTTCTTGTCACACTGGCATCTCTTCTAAGACATCTCATCTCTGTTGTTACGATCTTCCACTCGTTAGTTGTAGTAAGGGTCCATGGTTGGTCAGTACTAATAAAAGTTATGTGATTATTGTTGCAACTTGTCGGGTGACTAATGGTATTTGTGTGATTGACAGCAACCTTTATGAGTTAACTAATGGTATTTGTGTTATTGATAGTAACATTTCTGAGTTAACTAATTGTATATGTGTTATTGATAGTAACATTTCTGAGGTAACTAATGGTATTTTTGTGATTGATAGTAACATTTCTGAGTTCACTAATAGTATTTGTGTTATTGATAGTAACATTTCTGAATATTTAATAGTATTTGTGTTATTGATAGTAACATTTCTGAGTTAACTAATAGTATTTGTGTTATTGATAGTAACATTTCTGAGTTAACTAATAGTATTTGTGTTATTGATAGTAACATTTCTGAGTTAACTAATAGTATTTGTGTTATTGATAGTAACATTTCTGAGTTAACTAATAGTATTTGTGTGATTGATAGTAACATTTCTGAGTTAACTAATAGTATTTGTGTGATTGACAGCAACCTTTATGAGTTAATTAATGGTATTTGTGTTATTGATAGTAACATTTCTGAGTTAACTAATTGTATATGTGTTATTGATAGTAACATTTCTGAGGTAACTAATGGTATTTTTGTGATTGATAGTAACATTTCTGAGTTAACTAATAGTATTTGTGTTATTGATAGTAACATTTCTGAGTATTTAATAGTATTTGTGTTATTGATAGTAACATTTCTGAGTTAACTAATGGTATTTGTGTTATTGATAGTAACATTTCTGAGTTAACTAATAGTATTTGTGTTATTGATAGTAACATTTCTGAGTTAATTAATAGTATTTGTGTTATTGATAGTAACATTTCTGAGTTAACTAATTGTATATGTGTTATTGATAGTAACATTTCTGAGGTAACTAATGGTATTTTTGTGATTGATAGTAACATTTCTGAGTTAACTAATAGTATTTGTGTTATTGATAGTAACATTTCTGAGTATTTAATAGTATTTGTGTTATTGATAGTAACATTTCTGAGTTAACTAATGGTATTTGTGTTATTGATAGTAACATTTCTGAGTTAACTAATAGTATTTGTGTGATTGATAGTAACATTTCTGAGTTAACTAATGGTATTTGTGTGATTGATAGTAACATTTCTGAGTTAACTAATGGTATTTGTGTGATTGATAACATTTGTGAGGTAACTAATGGTATTTGTGTAATTGATAACATTTGTGAGGTAACTAATGGTATTTGTGTGATTGATAGTAACATTTATGAGTTAACTAATTGTATATGTGTTATTGATAGTAACATTTCTGAGTTAACTAATAGTATTTGTGTTATTGATGGTAACATTTCTGAGTTAACTAATAGTATTTGTGTTATTGATAGTAACATTTCTGAGTTAACTAATGGTATTTGTGTGATTGATAACATTTGTGAGGTAACTAATGGTATTTGTGTGATTGATAACATTTGTGAGGTAACTAATGGTATTTGTGTGATTGACCTTTTGTGAGGTAACTAATGTTATTTGTGTGATTGATAACATTTGCGAGGTAACTAATGATATTTGTGTGATTGACCCTTTGTGAGGTAACTAATGGTATTTTTGTGATTGACCTTTTGTGAGGTAACTAATGGTATTTGTGTGATTGATAATAACCTTTGTGAGGTAACTAATGGTATTTGTGTGATTGACCTTTTGTGAGGTAACTAATGGTATTTGTGTGATTGACCTTTTGTGAGGTAACTAATGATATTTGTGTGATTGATAATAACTTTTGTGAGGTAACTGATGGTATTTGTGCGATTGACCTTTTGTGAGGTAACTAATGGTATTTGTGTGATTGATAATAACCTTTGTGAGGTAACTAATAGTATTTGTGTGATTGATAATAACATTTGTGAGGTAACTAATGGTATTTGTGTGATTGACCTTTTGTGAGGTAACTAATGGTATTTGTGTGATTGATAATAACATTTGTGAGGTAACTAATGGTATTTGTGTGATTGACCTTTTGTGAGGTAACTAATGGTATTTGTGTGATTGACCTTTTGTGAGGTAACTAATGGTATTTGTGTGATTTAGATTTTGTGAGGCAACTAATGGTATTTGTGTGATTTACCTTTTGTGAGGCAACTAATGGTATTTGCGTGATTGATAATAACATTTGTGAGGTAACTAATGGTATTTGTGTGATTGACCTTTTGTGAGGTAACTAATATAATTTGTGTGGTTGATAGTAACATTTTTGAGGTATCTAATAGTATTTGTGTAAGTCATAGTAACATTTGTTAGGTCAGAAATGGTATTTGTGCGATTGACATCAACATTTGTGAGATAACTAATGGTATTTGTGGGACTGATAGCAACCTTTGTCAGGTAACTAATATAATTTGTGTGATTGATAACAACATTTGTGAGGTAACTAATGGTATTTGTGTGATTAATAGTAATTTGTTGCATAGCTAATCTATTAATGTGTTGCTGGTGATATAATTGGTTGAAGGAATGATGAGGTAACTGGGTGCTATTGAGATTATTGTCTGAAGGAAAGGATGAGGTAACTGGGTGATATTAAGGTAATTGGCTGAAAGAGATAATGTGTATTTTGATCAAGATGATGACGACAACTCTTTTTCATCAAGTATGAGTACGAAGATGACTGATGAGGTCGATGCGGGCCCGAAAAATGTTCTTGAATAGTGAGAACAGGAAATGAGCGCTGTGCCAGGGAGGGGATCTCCTGCAGATGCTTTTCTGTCTATCTTTTTCTTAATAAGTCTTGCTGTTCTGTTTGTTTCACATGTAGCCCCGTCCTTGTGTAGAGCTGCACGCCATGCATTTCGGTCTTGAGAGGCAGCCTCCTAATTGGTGTCATTCATCCCAAATGTTTTGAGTGAAGACTTCAAGGTGTCTTTGAAGCGTTTCTTTTGCCCGCCTTGGGAACGTTTCCCATTTTGTATCATCTTAGCACAGAACCTGTCTGTGCCCTAGGTGAGATACAGTGTATCCTCTTAAACACAGCACAGAACCTGTCGGTGCCTGAGGAGAGATACAGTGTATCCTCTAATACACAGCACAGAGACCTTATCTTACGCCCATACATGTGACCTAAATGATTGCATCTCATACAGGAGGACTCAACTTCTTGATTTGTTTGTAACAGAACCAGTCTCATGTTTTTGTTTTTTTTTTCCTGATTTTTCCAGGCTCTGTCTGAAGAGGACATTAAGTCTGCCAAGGAATGGCTGGAGACAGAAAAGGTTTGGCTGATGCATCGTGGAGGATTTTCCGAGGCACACCTCCTGAAATCAGAGAACACAGTGCTACCAGAGGGGCGTGTCCGTGTCAGGCTGGAGTCGGGTGATGTCATTGAAGTGGACGAGGACGATGTTGAAAAGGTAAGTCCGCTCCAATATTCTATCTTCGGCAATTAAGCATTTGTTATTTTTTTTTTTTTTTTGACAGTTGAGGTTTTATTATTCTATATTTTCTTTACAGTTAGGCTTTTACTATTTACAGCTGAGCTTTTGTTATTATATTTGTTCTTTACAGTTGAGCTTTTGTTAATATATTTGTTCTTTACAGTTGAGCGTTTGTTATTATATTTGTTCTTTACACTTGAGCTTTTGTTATTATATTTGTTCTTAACAGTTGAGCTTTTGTTATTATATTTGTTCTTTACAGTTGAGCTTTTGTTATTATATTTGTTCTTCACAGTTGAGCTTTTGTTATTATATTTGTTCTTAACAGTTGAGCTTTTGTTATTATATTTGTTCTTTACAGTTAAGCTTTTATTATTATATTTGTTCTTAACAGTTGAGCTTTTGTTATTTTATTTGTTCTTTACAGTTGAGCTTTTGTTATTATATTTGTTCTTTACAGTTGAGCTTTTGTTATTATATTTGTTCTTAACAGTTGAGCTTTGTTATTTTATTTGTTCTTTACAGTTAAGCTTTTGTTATTATATTTGTTCTTTACAGTTGAGCTTTTGTTATTATATTTGTTCTTTACAGTTGAGCTTTTGTTATTATATTTGTTCTCTACAGTTGAGCTTTTGTTATTATATTTGTTCTTTACAGTTGAGCTTTTGTTATTATATTTGTTCTTAACAGTTGAGCTTTTGTTATTATATTTGTTCTTTACAGTTGAGCTTTTGTTATCATATTTGTTCTTTACAGTTGAGCTTTTGTTATTATAATTGTTCTGTACAATTGAGCTTTTGTTATTATATTTGTTCTGTACAGTTAAGCTTTTGTTAACATATTTGTTCTTTTCAGTTGAGCCTTTGTTATTATATTTGTTTTTTACAGTTAAGCTTTGTTATTATATTTGTTCTTTACAGTTGAGCTTTTGTTATCATATTTGTTCTTTACAGTTGAGCTTTTGTAATTATATTTGTTCTTTACAGTTGAGCTTTTGTTATTATATTTGTTCTTCACAGTTGAGCTTTTGTTATTATATTTGTTCTTTACAGTTGAGCTTTTGTTATTATATTTGTTCTCTACAGTTGAGCTTTTGTTATTATATTTGTTCTTTACAGTTGAGCTTTTGTTATTATATTTGTTCTTTACAGTTGAGCTTTTGTTATTATATTTGTTCTTTACAGTTAAGCTTTTGTTAACATATTTGTTCTTTTCAGTTGAGCCTTTGTTATTATATTTGTTTTTTACAGTTGAGCTTTTGTTATTCTCTTCTTTCTGTGATAATTAACTGTTATTTGTTCTTTTTAGCATTTTTTGACACTGTTCTGTTTCTTTCAAAGTGAATCTATCTGTTTGTTTTTAAACAGTTGAGCTATCTTTTTATATTGTACACAACTAACCTCTGTTTTAACCTCTTGTGTTATATTTTTGTGTGTTTGTTTTTTACAATTGAGCGGTCTGTTTTGTTATTACAATGATTATTTGGTGTATCTTATCCTCCATTTGCTTTGTCTGAGGGTGGAATGTGACTGCCTGCTGACTCAATGAGTTTGCTCAGGTAGATCAAGAAAGGCTAGGCTTGAACATAGTGGTGGAAGGCTCTGAGAATGTCACAGGTGACGAAAATTATATTTTCTCCAGGTTCTGCCGGAATGTTGGGAAACAAACCAACAGATAGACCAGCTGGTGAATTAATGTATGACAAGCTAGATGTTACAAGGGTCCTTTGGGAGTGAGTGAACAGTGTAGAGGCACAAATAGATCATCACCGTCTGAGGGGAAGGGTACTGTAAGGAGTAACCAGAGGATCTGGTCAAAAGCTCCACGCTGAAGAAAACAACTGGTTCTTTATTATTATCCTATCCCAGATGACGTCACTAACAGTCAGACATTTGAGGGTGGTAAGACTGGGTTTCCCGGCTTTCTTATGCTTTTAATGACCCCAAAACATCTAGAACTGGCCCTAACCCCAACCCACCGACATCCCACGAGAAAGTGCAGCCTAGGTCCTGCGACTGCATGCATCTTAGGTCCCAAGACTGCATGCAGCCTATCTACCACCCCCTGAAATATTAGACTGTCCCGTGACCTGTGGATTTCCCCTGTTTGGGGTAGGATATTCATAAAGCACCAAAAGGCTAGATGGATATACACTCAGACCATATCTCTGTAATATCAGAGTTAGAACTCAGCATTTTGCTGCTGCAGGTGGGGACGGAGGGATCATGGGAATGTCCTGAATGTTGTGGTTTGATTCCTAATTCAAAATGCAACATTCCCCAAGGAAGCACATACCTTCAGCTAACTGGCCTCAAGTTATCCTATAGCTTATCATGTTGTACAGCTCACTTCATGACATTCTCAACCTCTTCACTGATCTGTAGTTCTCTTCTCCAAGTATTTCTTGGTCTCCCTTTGTTTCTATGGCCTCCACATGTGGGATCCAGGACCCCATTTTATGCGGGGGGGGGAGGGGGGAGGGACCCACTAAAATGCATGTTGCATGTTGTAAAAGGCGACCAGTTTGAAATGCTTCTTTCAAAGTCAGGGTGCACCTGCCCGAGAGGCGAGGAACCAACAGTCTGCATACACATGAGCCAATTGTGCATGCAAAACTCATGTTCCGAAACAAGACCGAATTCCAGAAGTGGATGAACAACCAGAACTTTCCGCTGGAGTTTACAGTCTGAGTCCTAAAAAGAAAAAGAAGAATTTTTTTGTCCTTATAGATTCCAATGCAGACATCCTAACTATATTTTATATTATTATCAGGTTTCATTGCATCAGTGATTTACACATTTTCAGGCCAACCCGCCTCAGTTTGACAAGGCAGAAGACCTGGCAGTATTGCGTTACCTCAATGAGTCTAGTGCCTTGCACACTATCAGGCAACGTTACGCTGCCAGTCTGATACACACGTACGCCGGGAGATACCTCATAGTGGTCAACCCCGTTCAGCAGCTGCCTATATACTCTGACAAGGTCAGGACAAATGCTTATATTCTGTTCAGTTGTCCGTGTCCTCCGATATCAGTTCATCAATTCCCCGTGTGGGTTTCGGGGCTGCTTTGTGTGTGTATATGGGTGGGAAGGGCAGGGGGGACGAACTGTCTTCTAACAAGCAAGTTGTAAGAGAAGACTAATTAGGGGTGTTTCCATCGAAGTCAGAGTGCATCTGCCTGAGAAGCTAGGAACCAGCAGTCTGCATACAAATTAGCCAGATCTGTAAAACATATGTGCAAGCAAAACTCAGGATCTGAAACAAGACTACAGTCCAGAAATGGATGGACAGCTGGACAGTTTCCGCTGGAGTTTACAGCTGGTGTTTACAGCTGGTGTTTACAGCTGGTGTTTACAGCTGGTGTTTACAGCTGGTGTTTACAGCTGGTGTTTACAGCTGGTGTGCGCTAAGAAGAAGAACAATCCTTGCTGATTGGTATGGGCAATCAAGCCTCTCTCAGTCTGCGATCTTCAGTTTGTTTCCTGACACCCCTCCATTTCTTGACCAAAGGCTGTCAATAATATTTTCAGGTTGTCTTCCTATGTCTCTTTTCCCTCAAATTGTTCCAGTAGTCACAACATGTTCCAGTTCCTTCTTCTCATAACATGACCAGAAAAGGATGACTCTCATTCTGATGTCTATAATAAGTTATCTTTGAGTCCTGACCTCTTTTAATACGTCTTTGTTGGTCTTTTTTGACTTTCTAAGGCAGCGGTTCTCAAACTTGGTGCCACTAGCATTTATCAGGGGTGCTGCGGCAATAATTGAGAATGTGTCCAAATCTGCTTGTGATCAGCGAAGACAGTAATTTAAAACAGAAATCCCTTGAAGGAAGCCAAGAAGAATTCTGGATGTAGGTGTATTCAGAAGAAAGCCAAGAACAGTTCTGGATGCAGGTGTATTCAGAAGGAAGCCAAGAAGAGTTATGGATGTAGGTGTATTCAGAAGGAAGCCAAGAAGAGTTATGGATGTAGGTGTATTCAGAAGGAAGCCAAGAACAGTTCTGGATGTAGGTGTATTCAGAAGAAAGCCAAGAAGAGTTCTGGATGTAGGTGTATTCAGAAAACAATGCTATTGGCAAGGCTGCAGTGCATTGTCAATGTACGCTTTGATTAAAAAACAGACACAGGAGCATGCTTCAAGTGATTTAAGGGTACAGTTAACTAAACTTCCCACAAACATAAAGGAAATAAAGAAAAATTCATCCAAACAGTTTCATTCATTGCATTAAAGACAACTAAACATTAAATTTGCACTGTTTTTTTTCTTCTCATTTTCCTAAATATTCTAACTGCTTTAACTCTTTGAGTCCCAAGGAACGCATCATACGTTTATATGTTCCTACCTAGAAGCCCAATAAACGCATGATGCGCTGATTTTATTACTGTCTCTACTACCCCCTGGGCCTGTGATGCTAAACCCCCTGGGACTCAAAGAGTTAAGGGTAGGTGTGCCACAAAAACATTTAGCCCGACAAGGGTGCTGCGGCAAATACAGATTAAGAAACACTTGTCTCAGGAATTCTAAGGATTCTTCTGTAAAACCACATCTCTGAGGCCTCAAGATATTATTTGGCTTGTTTTTTAGTTGTCCAGGACTCACAGCTGTTTGTTAAGACAGCATGTATACAGCATGAAGGAATTCTTTTTCTAACCTTCAGGGACATGGATTTGATGCCTTAAGAAGTATAAAATGGACTCTTAGGCTGTCCCATTTTGTTGTTTACCTCTGTAACACATCTTCCATCCGACATTATCCATGTGCTCTGATACTCGAGTACATATAAGAATTTAAAAATGTAGAAGTAGAGGATTATTTGCATGTCTTTAAGCATGTTGTCTATGGTGAACCATGAAGGAGTTCATAGAGGCAACCCACCTGATGGTCTGATCTGAACACACGAAACCGAACACAAAGAAGAAGAAGAAGAAGAAGAAGAAGAAGAAGAAGAAGAAGCATGTTGTGAATATGGTCCGTTCTTATGCCTGCTAAGAAGTTATACTTTTGTTCTTCTCCTCTTGACACCAGATCATCCAGATGTTGAAAGGCTGCAAGCAGGAGGACATGCCTCCCCACATCTACTCCAAGGCTCAGGTCGTCTACAGGGACATGCTCAATTCCAGGAAGGACCAGTCCCTTGTGTTCATGGGCAAAAGTGGCAGTGGGAAAACTGTCAATGCCCAACATGTTCTGCACTATCTTGTCATGGCTGCTGGCTGTTCTAATGGTGCTTTAACAGGTAGGCTCTTTTGCTACTAACATGTACCCGTGTGGGTTCCGGGGCCCTATTATAGGGAAAACAAGAATAGACCCACTGCCTACCCAAAAGCATGTTGTAAGAATCAACTAATTGGGAGCTTCCTTCGAAGTCGGAGTGCATCTGCCTGAGAGGCGAGGAACCAGCAGTCTGCATACCAATGAGTCAGATCTGTAAAATGGATGCACACGCAACACTCAGGTTTTGGAACAGTACTGCAGTCCAGAAGTGGATGAACAACCATAACTTTCCACCGGAGTTTATAGCTGGTGAACGAGAAGAAGAAGAAGAAGCTACTAACATGCATGTTAGTTCCTTATTGATCCAAAAGTTTAGAGTTCAGATCTGCATCTATGGTTTTTTTCTTTTTCTTTTCAGGATTGACCTTGACTCATGGGCCGACCCAGCCTTAAATAGGTATCAGATAATGTAGTGGATAGTAAATGTAGCCACCCAGCCTTACATAGGTATCAGATAATGTAGTGGGGAGTATATGTAGCCACCCAGCCTTACATTGGTATCAGATAATGTAGTGGGGAGTAAATGTAGCCACCCAGCCTTACATAGGTATCAGATAATGTAGTGGGGAGTAAAAGTAGCCACCTAGCCTTACATAGGTATCAGATAATGTAGTGGGGAGTAAATGTAGCCACCCGGCCTTACATAGGTATCAGATAATGTAGTGGGGAGTAAAAGTAGCCACCCAGCCTTACATAGGTATCAGATAATGTAGTGGGGAGTAAAAGTAGCCACCCAGCCTTACATAGGTATCAGATAATGTAGTGGGGAGTAAATGTAGCCACCCAGCCTTACATAGGTATCAGATAATGTAGTGGGGAGTAAAAGTAGCAACCTAGCCTTACATAGGTATCAGATAATGTAGTGGGGAGTAAAAGTAGCCACCCAGCCTTACATAGGTATCAGATAATGTAGTGGGGAGTAAAAGTAGCCACCCAGCCTTACATAGGTATCAGATAATGTAGTGGGGAGTAAAAGTAGCCACCCAGCCTTACATAGGTATCAGATAATGTAGTGGGGAGTAAAAGTAGCCACCCAGCCTTACATAGGTATCAGATAATGTAGTGGGGAGTAAAAGTAGCCACCCAGCCTTACATAGGTATCAGATAATGTAGTGGGGAGTAAAAGTAGCCACCCAGCCTTATATAGGTATCAGATAATGTAGTGGGGAGTAAAAGTGGCCACCCAGCCTTATATAGGTATCAGATAATGTAGTGGGGAGTAAAAGTGGCCACCCAGCCTTACATAGGTATCAGATAATGTAGTGGGGAGTAAAAGTAGCCACCCAGCCTTACATAGGTATCAGATAATGTAGTGGGGAGTAAAAGTAGCCACCCAGCCTTATATAGGTATCAGATAATGTAGTGGGGAGTAAAAGTAGCCACCCAGCATTACATAGGTATCAGATAATGTAGTGGGGAGTAAAAGTAGCCACCCAGCCTTACATAGGTATCAGATAATGTAGTGGGGAGTAAAAGTAGCCACCCAGCCTTACATAGGTATCAGATAATGTAGTGGGGAGTAAATGTAGCCACCCAGCCTTACATAGGTATTAGATAATGTAGTGGGGAGTAAAAGTAGCCACCCAGCCTTACATAGGTATCAGATAATGTAGTGGGGAGTAAAAGTAGCCACCCAGCCTTACATAGGTATCAGATAATGTAGTGGGGAGTAAAAGTAGCAACCTAGCCTTACATAGGTATCAGATAATGTAGTGGGGAGTAAAAGTAGCCACCCAGCCTTACATAGGTATCAGATAATGTAGTGGGGAGTAAAAGTAGCCACCCAGCCTTACATAGGTATCAGATAATGTAGTGGGGAGTAAAAGTAGCCACCCAGCCTTACATAGGTATCAGATAATGTAGTGGGGAGTAAAAGTAGCCACCCAGCCTTACATAGGTATCAGATAATGTAGTGGGGAGTAAATGTAGCCACCCAGCCTTACATAGGTATCAGATAATGTAGTGGGGAGTAAAAGTAGCCACCCAGCCTTACATAGGTATCAGATAATGTAGTGGGGAGTAAAAGTAGCCACCCAGCCTTACATAGGTATCAGATAATGTAGTGGGTAGTAAATGTAGCCACCCAGCCTTACATAGGTATCAGATAATGTAGTGGAGAGTAAATGTAGCCACCTAGCCTTACATAGGTATCAGATAATGTAGTGGAGAGTAAATGTAGCCACTGTGATGTTGACCACATCACCCACTGAGTGTATTGATCTTTGAAAAATATAGGTCTTGCTCAGTGAGACAAAGGCAGGAAAAGGGACCTTTACTTTACTTGCATGTTGGCTCATTCCCTGCTATGTAGACTACCCTATGATAATCATTTCATTACTCTCAGTCCCACTCACACTGGAAGTCAAAAGTAAAGTAAAGATCCCTTTTCCAGCCTTTAGGCACCAGGCATATGGGAAGGGCACAGACCAATCAGCACTAGGGGGGTAATAGGGTCAGCCTTACGCCACACTCACACTGTACTGCATGTTATTTCTTAACTATTTTGTGGTGCCCAGTATAACCTTGCTGTACGGTTGGGTGGGGTTTTGGGGATTTATACATGTCTGATTTTCATCCTTGAGAGTTAATCCTACAGAGTGCAATCCTGAAAGGTTAATTTCCCAGGGATTTCATTCTAAAGTTCAGGGTATTTGTATGAATGATATCACAGGCCCTTTAAATTTGTTCAGCTGGTCCGCAGAGGTCCACCTGATGGCTGGACAGTTTATTTATCTCGCTGTTTGAATGGCTCCCTAATAATTGATAGAGTTTGATACTGCTTAGATTACCCGTGTGGGTTCTGGGGCACTATTATAGGGAAAACAAGAATAGACCCACTGGCTACCTAAAAGCATGTCGTAAGAGTCGACTAATTGGGAGCTTCCTTTGAAGTATGAGTTCAATAGCCTGAGAGTCAAGGAATCAGCAGTCTGCATACAGATGAGTCAGATCTGTAAAACGGATGCACACGCAACACTCAGGTTCTGGAACAGGACTGCAGTCCAGAAGTGAACAAGCAACCAGAACTTTCTGCCAGAGTTTACAGCTGGTGAATGCAAAGAAGAAAAAGAATAAGAAGATACTACTTAGATGACCATTGACTCATTGAGGCCAGTAATTGTGCACATTTTGTCCTTTCAGTGGTGAAGCTGAATTCGGTGTTCACCATTCTTTCTGCATTCGGCAACAGCCGGACATCTTTAAATGTCAGTGCCAGCCGGTTTACTCAGATTTTCACGGTGGATTTTGATTCAGCAGGCCAGATTGGCTCAGCATCTGTGCAGGTAAAGATAAGTCAAGACATATTTCATCATCATTGTCATCTTCATCATCATCATCGTCTAAGGGAATGTGTCCTTGATATACTGCATATCTGCTTCCGAACCAGCATTAACAGCGCAGTCATCAGCGAACAAAAGATCCCTAATAATACATGATTTCACTTTGGTTTTCACTTTGAGCAGCCTAAGGTGGAAGAGTTTTCCATCGATGCAGTAAACTGATATCAGTTTTGATATCTTCGTCACGAAAAGTGTCAGAAAGCACAATAATACTGAATAGAGTACACTTCTTTGTTTTACACTGCTTGTGACATGGAAATGTTCAGATAGTTCACCCTCATCCTGGATTCACCATTATCTAGGGTTCTAGCCTGCATCCCATCATACAGCTGCTGCACAGTCATGATACATTTCTGTGGGCAGATGTATTTTGCCCACGTTCTTCCATAGACCCTCCTCTCTGTTGACTAAATCGAACACTTTTGTCAGGTCAATAAAAACCGTGAATAAACCACATAGCTGTTCATGACATATTTCTTGTCGCTCCTTTGGGTGAAAACCACTAAGGTCTGTTGGCATCTTGCCCATCTTGTCAACATTCAGAACCTGTGTCCTTGATAACCTGTGTCCTTGATAACATGTGTCCTGAGTCCTTGATTACCTTTACCCCTGATAACGTGTGTCATTATGCCCTTGATAATCTGTGTCCTTGATGACATGTGCCCTTGATAACCTGTGTCCTTGATGACATGTGCCCTTGATAACCTGTGCCCTTGATAACCTGTGTCCTTGATGACCTGTGCCCTTGATAATCTGTGCCTTTGATAACCTGTGCCCTTGATAATCTGTGCCTTTGATAACCTGTGCCCTTGATTTCTTGTGCCCTTGATACTTGTGTCCTGCGTGTTACCAGAGAGTCTGGCCGGCTCACTACACTCAGAGGAAAGACAAGACGGACATATAACCTAATTACGACCGGTACCATTAGTACTGGAACTCTGCGCTGGCTACTGAAGATGAAGACAGAGCATGCATAGGAATGCCCCAAGTGCTGTGATGTCAATTCTTGACTCCCCTCAACTCCACTAACTACTACAGACACAGCCAGTCTGTCAGGTCTTTTATTTCCTTTTACCTTGACATATTCTGGTATGCAAAACCAAGATAGTTTATAGAGGCGGGACTTCTGAATGCTGTCATCCAATTCTAGTCAAAGTTTAAACCTTCTTAAGCATGGTTTTAGAATGGTGAAGATATTGGAAATATAATGTTTTGTAAACATTTCAGGCCCTGATGCTGGAGAGGTCGAGAGTTGTGAGAAGACCTGACAATGAACACAACTTTAATGTCTTTTACCAGTTACTTGCTGGAGCTGACAGCAGTCTCAGGTAAGCATGTCACATATTTTCAGTTATATAGTAAGTAAGTAGTAAAGTAAAGATCCCTTTTCACACATTTAGGCACGTCAGGCATGTGGAAAGAGCACCCACATTTTTACCGACCAGTCGGGCAAAGTGGTCAGTATTACGCCGGCCGTCTTTACTTCCCCAGGACATACATCCTGGTACCCATTTTAGGCTGGGTCGACCTGCGACGCCCCATACCATGATAAAAATTAATGCAGTCAGCAGTGGGTTTCGATCGCAGTACATTGGAATTACGGGTCAGACTCGCAAGATCTAAGCGATGGACGCCGCTTTACAGTTATATAGCCCTCTTTTTTTTTGCCTTTGCTTTCTGGATGGTTCATTGCTCATAATCACCTGCGACTGACTTCAGACCCTGGTGTGTTGGAGTTGTGAAACTACATTCATAATCCTAAAGCCACAAGTGCCAGCATATATGTTTGAAATGATACTGCTACTCTTACATAGGAAGCAATACACTTCTGAGGTTGAACATATGCCATATTCTTCTTCTTTCTCTTCTTCTTCTTCCTCCTATTCCTCCTCCTCCTTCTTTTTTATCTTCTTTTTTCTTCTTCTTTTTCATCCTCCATCTCCTCCTCCTCTTCCTCCTCCTCCTTCTTCCTTCTTCTTCTTTCTTCTTCCTCCTCCTCCTTCTTCCTCCTTCTTCTTCCTTCTTCCTCTTTCTTCTTTTTTTCTTCTTCTTCTTCCTTCCTCCTTCTTCCTCCTTTTCTTCCTTACTTCCTCCTTTCTTCCTTCTCCTTTTCTTTTTTCTTCCTTCTTCTTCCTCCTCCTTCTTCTTCCTCTTCCTTCTTTCTCCCTCTTCTTCCTTCATCCTTCTCCTTCTTCCTTCTTCCTTACTGACTCCTTCCTTCCTTCTTCCTTTCTTTTTCTTCCTTCTTCTTCTTCTTCTTCTTCTTCTTCTTCTTCTTCTTCTTCTTCTTCTTCTTCCTCCTCCTTTATCTTTCTCCTCCTCCTTCTTCTTCCTCCTTCTTCCTTTCTTCCTTCCTTCCTCCTCTTCTTCCTCCTCTTCTTTCTCTTTATCTTCTTCTGCTTTGTTTTTATCTTCTTGTCCTCCTTTTTCTTGTTCTTTCTATTAATCTCCTCCTCCTCATTCTTCTTTTTTATCTTTATCTTCTTCTCCTCCTTCTTTTTATTCTTTATTATCATCCTTGATTTTTTCTTTTTCTCCTCCTCCTCCTTGAGACTTAAAGGAGCGTAGGTCCTCACATCAAGCCATGTGTAGACTTGTTCAGGAATTGGTTACGTTTTTATAGGTACATTTTTTGTTAAATCTGACGAGGTCTCCTGTCTCAAGCCAACCCTCCTTAGTCACCTCTTGTGACATGCATGGTCAGTTAAAGTTAATTGTACATCCTTTTCAGGACATTGCCAAACAGACCTACCATGTGTGGTTTTACTCAGTTATTTTTATCTTCTGAAGTTTGCCATTGCTTTATAATTGTTCAGAATCAATGCAAAGTGGCTGCTGCTGAATAACCTGCAGCTGACTTCACGGCTTAGTGTGTTTGGCTTGTGAAACTGAGTTCACAACCTCTAAACAACCATGGAAGGTTACAACATTTGTTACTATTTGTGTGTGTGGAGCCAAGATCTGACACAAATATATACAATACATTAAATTTAAATTTTAAACAGTGTAAAGTCAGCAGTTTCAACAGCTGGTAACTTGTGTGTGTTTCAGAAATGATTTACAGCTGCACAATCTCAATGAAGCTAATTTATTCATGACTACACTACACAAGGTCTGTATACTGTGTATAGGACAGCTATAAGAAATTGATGTATTTATTAGTCATCACAGAGAGTATATGATACAGCTTATGTGTTTGGTTTAGACAAAACAATATTAGTTTTTGTCCTCTTTAAAGTAGTTCTGTGTTGAGAGGCAAGAGAAAATAATGGATGTTCATTGCAAAGGTGAATAGATGACCTTTCTTGCAACACAGCCTAGCATATGGTATCACCACATCTGTTTGGAGAATGAAGTTAGAGGCGGTCACTGCAGCTTTTCTCTCGCTTGAGAACCAACTACACAAACATGTTGTGATTGTAAGTGACTCACATAGCATGCTTAGAAAGTTGAGACAGGTATGCATTGTAGAGAATGGCAAGCATCCTTTTGGAGAGCCCAGTCGTTAATGTCCTTTGGATATTTTCTCCAGGGCATGAAGATGTGTTGGGAGATGAATAGGCAGACGGACTGGCTGGTTCTGAACAAGCTAGATGTTGTCAAGGCCTGTTGGGAGATGGGGATGAGAGATGCTTGTTTGAATGTCCTGATTGCTTTGATATTAGTTCTTAACTCAACTCTACTGTTTAAATTTCTTCTTCTTCTTCTTCTTCTTCTTCTTCTTCTTCTTCTTCTTCTTCTTCACGTTCGCCAGCTGTAAACTCTGGAGGAAAGTCATGATTGTTTGTCCATGTCTGGAGTTGGCCTTGTTAGAAAACTTGAGTCTTGTGTGCACATCCGTTTTACAGATCTGGCTTACTTGTGTGCAGACTGTTGGTTACTTGCCTCATGCAATCTCCCCTAGTTACTCAACTTTTATGACATGCTTATTAAGTGTGCAGTGGGTCTATTCCCCCTTCTCCCCCCATATCCTACACACACACACACACACGCATACGCACACTTACACACACACAAGAGATGGGGTTGAAAACAATTCTGGACACAGTCTTTTGTCATGGCATGGAGGGGTCAGCACGTGAACTGATACATGCTGTTGAAGATTGTAGATGATGATGATTGTGTTCTTATTATGTGTCTGTTCTACTTCTTCCTCTTCTTTGCGTTACCTGCTCTAGTAAACCCTAACATAAATGTGTGGTTATTCATCTACTTCAGAACTTTAGTCATCTTCCAGAATTTGTTTTGCTTGCACATACGTTTTACAGATTTGGCTTATTTGTAAGCAGACTGTTGGTTCCTCGTCTTTCAGGCAGATGCAGTTTGACTCTGAAGGAAACACTTTCTATCCCAGGCAACACACCATATATGCTTAGCTTAGGTCTGTGTGTTCTGCACAACACATGGTGTGTTATTGTTTATTTCATGTTTGGTCTGGGGATGCAATCTGGCCAGATATTTTAGATGCAGCACAGTACCTTTGAAAGTCACACTGATACCCTTTTCTTTGTGATTATTTGCCAAATTGGGTTTATACTTTGAAACCATCTGGGATTGAAAAAAGTTAATTTGTTGACTTTTACAACATGCTTGTTAGTTAAGCAATGGGTCTGTTCTTTTCCCCCGTATTGGGAACCCTGAAAACACACCCAGGAAATTCTTCTGTTAATTGCATCTGTATACAAATCAAATTTGTGATTGCTGCCATTCTTCAGCCAGAGGAAAAGGAGAAGGCAGTGGAATCCTGGCTGCAGCTGCTGGAGGCTTTTGGTAACCTGAATGTCACAGAGGCTGAGGTCAAAAGTATCATGGCCGTCCTGGCAGCCATCTACCATCTGGGCACTGCTGGCGCTATCAGAGGTAAGATTTTGATTACTTTCCTAGGTAAACTGTCTCAAGAACGAGGTAAGACGTTGATTACTTTCCTAGGTAAACTTGTCTCAAGAACAGAGGTAAGATGTTGATTACTTTCCTAGGTAAACTTGTCTCAAGAACAGAGGTAAGATGTTGATTACTTTCCTAGGTAAACTGTCTCAAGAACAGAGGTAAGATGTTGATTACTTTCCTAGGTAAACTTGTCTCAAGAACAGAGGTAAGATGTTGATTACTTTCCTAGGTAAACTTGTCTCAAGAACAGAGGTAAGATGTTGATTACTTTCCTAGGTAAACTGTCTCAAGAACAGAGGTAAGATGTTGATTACTTTCCTAGGTAAACTGTCTCAAGAACAGAGGTAAGATGTTGATTACTTTCCTAGGTAAACTTGTCTCAAGAACAGAGGTAAGATGTTGATTACTTTCCTAGGTAAACTGTCTCAAGAACAGAGGTAAGATGTTGATTACTTTCCTAGGTAAACTGTCTCAAGAACAGAGGTAAGATGTTGATTACTTTCCTAGGTAAACTTGTCTCAAGAACAGAGGTAAGATGTTGATTACTTTCCTAGGTAAACTTGTCTCAAGAACAGAGGAAAGATGTTGATTACTTTCCTAGGTAAACTGTCTCAAGAACAGAGGTAAGATGTTGATTACTTTCCTAGGTAAACTTGTGTCAAGAACAGAGGTAAGATGTTGATTACTTTCCTAGGTATACTTGTCTCAAGAACAGAGGAAAGATGTTGATTACTTTCCTAGGTAAACTTGTCTCAAGAACAGAGGAAAGATGTTGATTACTTTCCTAGGTAAACTGTCTCAAGAACAGAGGTAAGATGTTGATTACTTTCCTAGGTAAACAGAGATTGCAAGAAATTACAAATGTAATCCTTGTTCCAACTGTTGGTTATCAGCATCAGACTTGGACATCAACCAAAGAACACAAAAGAAACCTAAGCACCTGCGAAATGAGAGGCTTGAGAAAAACTGCGATCAAAACCAGAAGAGATTGTGTGAGAAATAAAGAGAGAAAAACTATTGGAACAATACCCGTAGTTAAATTCATTCAGAAACAAAGACTGAAATGATTTGGCCACTTAGTGAGAATGAACCTAACAAAGAGCTCTGGAAGAAGATAGTTTGAAGGAGTCACTAACATCACAGCATACCAAGCAACCAAGCACGCCCTAGCTCAGCTACCTATCATTTGTAACGCTTAATGACCCAAGACAGATATTGTAAAAAATTGCATCCACCTGAGAACCCACCTGCACTGGACTACTTCGAAACCATTGTTCCGTGCCCCCAGTATAAATGTGTTATTTGGCTTTTATACTGAAATCAAGTTGAAACTTAAAATCTATATAATGTCTTATAATCCTAGAAACCAGTGTAATATAGGATATTTCAGAGATAAAGAAGTTAAGGAACAATTTTTAGTTGCAGTCTCTAATAAGTACCAGGTGTTCCAGCAGTTACCTGAAGAGATAAGCACTGAAGTCTGCTGGGATCAGATCAAGGGAATTTTTGAATGAATCTTGTGTCGAAACAAAAGATGTTGATAACACCAAAAACCATTAAAATGATTGAAGAAAGGAAAAGTAAAAAGTCAGACTTTAACAATTGCAAAATTAGAGCTGCTAAAGCTAGAGCTCAGGAAAAATACACAGAAAATAATAAGGAAGTTAGGAACTGAATAAGGGCGCATAAAACGAAATATTTAGGGTTGGCGAGTACCTTTCCTTGACTATTTTAGATTGAACCAGTTGGTTGACTATATTTACCTACTAATTTCCTTGTGTTACTACAAAGGTCTCTGAGGTTTCCTTTTACTGCTGCTGTCTCCGCTTCTTGTGGTAGGTACTCACCAACCCTAAAGATCAAATGGACAGATGGGCTGTTTTGAAATAATGCTGAATAGACCAGCCCCAGAGGTTCCTCCAGATATCCAGCCTTCAGAAATGGAACTGGATATCTGTGAGATGCCATCTAAAGAGGAAATTAGGAAAGCTATCAATCTTCTGGAGGAAGGAAATTGGGCAGTTCCAGAGTGTATCCCAGCAAAAGTTATTAGGGCCAGTATGAACAAGTCATCAGAATTGCTACATAGGTTAATAGGTTATTGAGTAAATTCTAGGAGATAAGGATATCTTGTGAAAATGCCCAAAAATTGTAAACTACAGGTGTGTGAAAACTATAGAGGAATTATGTTGCTGTCAGTCCCTGGAAAAATTTCAAGGAGGATTATTGTGGAAAGACTAAAAGATGCTATTGATAAAAATCTATGAGATGAACAGTCAGGTTTTTGGCCAAACAGATCCTATACTGACCAGATAGCTACATTGCTTAAAATAATAGGACAAATCATTGAATTGAATTCACCACTTTACACTGATTCATAGATTATGAAATGCTTTTGACTCTGTTGATAAGGAATCTCTCTGGAAAATAATGGGGCACTATGGAATCCAACATAAAATTATTAACTTAATACACGCAACATATAAAGACACAAAATGTCCTGTTCTTTATGAGGGAAAGCTAACAAATACATTTTTAATTTAAAAAATAAAAAAGGTGTGTCTTTTAATGCCTTTGCTCGTTTTACTGGCAATAGATTGGATTATGTGGACAGCTAATGCTAAAAGCAGGTACGGAATTCAGTGGACCACTACAAAACAGCTTGATGATCTAGACTTTGCTGATAATATTTCTCTTCTGTCTCACTCACGAAATCAGAGGCAAGATAAATTAAACATACTTGATGCGAGATCACAACAGCTAGGTCCGAAAATCCAAAAGGGAAAGACAAAGATTGTCAGAGATCTTATATCTGCCGTAACGGCATATGACCGGTGTTGTAGACCCGTGACAGATAATCTACCCTAAACACACTAAACCCACACACCTAAAGAGCACACAACAATCTTCAATGTACAGGACAGTATAACAAGTCAGTAGTTTGCCTCAAAAGTCATGGGCACCCCTATCTGGAACAAAGGCCTTGAGGGCTTTAAAAATCACCTTTCGCTTCTAGGCCTTCACGTTCCCATGGATAATACCTGGGTCCGAACCAACGCTGCTTCTGTACAGCTCTTTTTCTCTGTAACTGAACTCCACACCAGGGTCGTGGAGCGTCTGCCGAGTGCAGGGCAAAATGAGTCAGAACAGATCAAATCACAACAACCAGTACAAACCCGCCTTAGCTACCAGACCAACTGTAATACCTAACCAGCTACTGTCTAACAAATCATATTGTAACACAGACTGTCGGTCACTATGGTCTAAACACAACACACTGTAATCTAACGGTCCAACTCACAAGTCTCTGCAGTCACACGTCCTGGAAACAACTTCCCCGATCTTTCTCTGTCCGCTAGTTTTGTTTCAGCCATGCACTTTAGTCCCAATTCTTCCAGGATTCGTGGCTTCGCAAGAAGCAGTGACTATTTTTGAAAAACCAGATTTGTGTAGTATATTCTGACCAAATATAGAAAGTAAGATAGTACATACAATATGCCGTGGCGTGAAGTCAAAAGGTTGAGTCATTCCCACACCAGATGTAGCTAGGAAATAAAAGAGTTAATGATCATGTGAGGTGGTAAAACATGACAGCCTACCACCAGGTACATGATGATAATGTTAGGTTAACATATGGAGAATGCTGCCCACCATATCTCTGATATTTATCTTGCTGTGAACATTGCCCTTGTGGGTTACTACCCATGTGCCATGATGTTGATCTGTTGTTGAGACCTCAAACATTGCCCTTGTGGGTTGTTACCCGTGTGCCATGATGTTGATCCGTTGTTCAAAGTTCAATCATTGCCCTTATGGGTTACTAGCCATGTGCCATGATGTTGATTCTTTGTTCAAACCTCAGACATTGCCCTTGTAGGTTACTACCCATGTTCCATGATGTTGATCCGTTGTTTAAACCTCAGACATTGCCCTTGTAGGTTACTAGCCATGTGCCATGATGTTGATTCTTTGTTCAAACCTCAAACATTGGTCTTATGGGTTACTAGCCATGTGCCATGATGTTGATTCTTTGTTCAAACCTCAATCATTGCTCTTATGGGTTACTATCCATGTGCCATGATGTTGATTCTTTGTTCAAACCTCAATCATTGCTCTTATGGGTTACTAGCCGTGTGCCATGATGTTGATCTGTTGTTCAAACCTCAATCATTGCTCTTATGGGTTACTATCCATGTGCCATGATGTTGATTCTTTGTTCAAACCTCAAACATTGCTCTTATGGGTTACTAGCCATGTGCCATGATGTTGATTCTTTGTTCAAACCTCAAACATTGCTCTTATGGGTTACTAGCCATGTGCCATGATGTTGATTCTTTGTTCACACCTCAGACATTGCCCTTGTAGGTTACTACCCATGTTCCATGATGTTGATCCGTTGTTTAAACCTCAGACATTGCCCTTGTAGGTTACTAGCCATGTGCCATGATGTTGATTCTTTGTTCAAACCTCAAACATTGCTCTTATGGGTTACTAGCCATGTGCCATGATGTTGATTCTTTGTTCAAACCTCAATCATTGCTCTTATGGGTTACTATCCATGTGCCATGATGTTGATTCTTTGTTCAAACCTCAATCATTGCTCTTATGGGTTACTAGCCGTGTGCCATGATGTTGATCTGTTGTTCAAACCTCAATCATTGCTCTTATGGGTTACTATCCATGTGCCATGATGTTGATTCTTTGTTCAAACCTCAAACATTGCTCTTATGGGTTACTAGCCATGTGCCATGATGTTGATTCTTTGTTCAAACCTCAATCATTGCTCTTATGGGTTACTATCCATGTGCCATGATGTTGATTCTTTGTTCAAACCTCAATCATTGCTCTTATGGGTTACTAGCCGTGTGCCATGATGTTGATCTGTTGTTCAAACCTCAATCATTGCTCTTATGGGTTACTATCCATGTGCCATGATGTTGATTCTTTGTTCAAACCTCAATCATTGCTCTTATGGGTTACTACCCATGTGCCATGATGTTGATCCGTTGTTCAAACCTTAATCATTGCTCTTGTGGGTTGTTACCCGTGTGCCATGATGTTGATTCGTTGTTCAAACCTCAAACATTGCCCTTGTGGGTTGTTACCCGTGTGCCATGATGTTGATTTGTTGTTCAAACCTCAAACATTGCCCTTATAGGTTACTAGCCGTGTGCCATGATGTTGATTCTTTGTTCAAACCTCAAACATTGCTCTTGTAGGTTACTAGCCGTGTGCCATGATGTTGATTCTTTGTTCAAACCTCAATCATTGCTCTTATGGGTTACTAGCCGTGTGCCATGATGTTGATCTGTTGTTCAAACCTCAATCATTGCCCTTGTAGGTTACTAGCCGTGTGCCATGATGTTGATCTGTTGTTCAAACCTCAATCATTGCTCTTATGGGTTACTAGCCGTGTGCCATGATGTTGATTCGTTGTTCAAACCTCAAACATTGCCCTTGTAGATTACTAGCCGTGTGCCATGATGTTGATTCTTTGTTCAAACCTCAAGCATTGCTCTTATGGGTTACTAGCCGTGTGCCATGATGTTGATTCGTTGTTCAAACCTCAATCATTGCCCTTGTGGGTTGTTACCCGTGTGCCATGATGTTGATCCATTGTTCAAACCTCAATCATTGCTCTTATGGGTTACTAGCCGTGTGCCATGATGTTGATTCGTTGTTCAAACCTCAAACATTGCCCTTGTAGATTACTAGCCGTGTGCCATGATGTTGATTCTTTGTTCAAACCTCAAACATTGCCCTTGTAGATTACTAGCGCTTGTGCCATGATGTTGATTCTTTGTTCAAACCTCAAACATTGCTCTTATGGGTTACCAGCCGTGTGCCATGATGTTGATCCATTGTTCAAACCTCAATCATTGCTCTTATGGGTTACTAGCCATGTGCCATGATGTTGATCTGTTGTTCAAACCTCAATCATTGCCCTTGTGGGTTACTAGCCATGTGCCATGATGTTGATTCGTTGTTCAAACCTCAAACATTGCCCTTGTGGGTTACTAGCCATGTGCCATGATGTTGATTCTTTGTTCAAACCTCAAACATTGCTCTTATGGGTTACTAGCCATGTGCCATGATGTTGATTCTTTGTTCAAACCTCAATCATTGCTCTTATGGGTTACTACCCATGTGCCATGATGTTGATTCTTTGTTCAAACCTCAATCATTGCTCTTATGGGTTACTAGCCGTGTGCCATGATGTTGATCTGTTGTTCAAACCTCAATCATTGCTCTTATGGGTTACTAGCCGTGTGCCATGATGTTGATTCGTTGTTCAAACCTCAAACATTGCTCTTATGGGTTACTAGCCATGTGCCATGATGTTGATTCGTTGTTCAAACCTCAAACATTGCCCTTGTGGGTTACTAGCCATGTGCCATGATGTTGATTCGTTGTTCAAACCTCAAACATTGCCCTTGTGGGTTACTAGCCATGTGCCATGATGTTGATTCTTTGTTCAAACCTCAATCATTGCTCTTATGGGTTACTAGCCGTGTGCCATGATGTTGATCTGTTGTTCAAACCTCAATCATTGCCCTTGTAGGTTACTAGCCGTGTGCCATGATGTTGATCCGTTGTTCAAACCTCAATCATTGCTCTTATGGGTTACTAGCCGTGTGCCATGATGTTGATTCGTTGTTCAAACCTCAAACATTGCTCTTATGGGTTACTAGCCGTGTGCCATGATGTTGATTCGTTGTTCAAACCTCAATCATTGCCCTTGTGGGTTGTTACCCGTGTGCCATGATGTTGATCCATTGTTCAAACCTCAATCATTGCTCTTATGGGTTACTAGCCGTGTGCCATGATGTTGATTCGTTGTTCAAACCTCAAACATTGCCCTTGTAGATTACTAGCCGTGTGCCATGATGTTGATTCTTTGTTCAAACCTCAAACATTGCCCTTGTAGATTACTAGCCGTGTGCCATGATGTTGATTCTTTGTTCAAACCTCAAACATTGCTCTTATGGGTTACCAGCCGTGTGCCATGATGTTGATCCATTGTTCAAACCTCAATCATTGCCCTTGTGGGTTACTAGCCATGTGCCATGATGTTGATCTGTTGTTCAAACCTCAATCATTGCCCTTGGGGGTTACTAGCCGTGTGCCATGATGTTGATTCTTTGTTCAAACCTCAGACATTGCTCTTGTAGGTTACTACCCGTGTGCCATGATGTTAATCTGTTGTTCAAACCTCAAACATTGCCCTTATGGGTTACTACCCATGTGCCATGATGTTGATTCTTTGTTCAAACCTCAATCATTGCTCTTATGGGTTACTACCCATGTGCCATGATGTTGATTCTTTGTTCAAACCTCAAACATTGCCCTTATGGGTTACTAGCCGTGTGCCATGATGTTAATCTGTTGTTCAAACTTCAATCATTGCTCTTGTGGGTTACTAGCCATGTGCCATGATGTTGATTCGTTGTTCAAACCTCAAACATTGCCCTTGTGGGTTACTAGCCATGTGCCATGATGTTGATTCTTTGTTCAAACCTCAAACATTGCTCTTATGGGTTACTAGCCATGTGCCATGATGTTGATTCTTTGTTCAAACCTCAAACATTGCCCTTATGGGTTACTAGCCGTGTTCCATGATGTTGATCTGTTGTTCAAACCTCAAACATTGCCCTTATGGGTTACTAGCCGTGTGCCATGATGTTGATCTGTTGTTCAAACCTCAAACCTCAATCATTGCCCTTAAGGGTTACTAGCCGTGTGCCATGCTGTTGATCCATTGTTCAAACCTCAATCATTGCCCTTCTCATTTGTGCTGTAGGAGGTTCCAACAAAGCTCAGTTTGCCAAGCCATCAGCAGCTCAAAGAGCTGCAGCAATCCTGGGCACCAGTGTGGAGGAACTCAGCAGATCTATATTTTCTACTGGTGGGACTACCACACTGAGTCGCACCGCTTCCCTCAGGTAAAACAATATGTTTTGTTATTACGTTGTTACTGTTAGAGAAAATTATTAACAGCTAGAAATATTGAAAAGGAAAATCATTTAGTGTTTTGTATCCTCAGCCTTGCTGTATGGTGCAGCAGCCTGGGAAATGAACAAGCAACGAGTAAATTGAATTGCTAAATGTGAAACAATTCATGTATATGTTTGTATCTCATTTAAAGGGTTAGTTTAACCTCTGGTATGATAATAGACTGTGTTACTGTGTCATGAAATTACATTTGCCTATAAGCATGTCACCAGCATGAAATGTTTAGTAAGCTCTGGTCTAGTATGTTGTGATTGGATGTCACATGTGTGTAAACAAAATTGGAGGATTTAAGTTCAGTTAAGTTCAGTCTTATTCACCTAATAAACATATTTGTGTATTGACTGCTAGTCAAACCAATAGTTTCCTGTACTAACTTTAAACAATACATTACACAGTCTATTGCCACTCAATTTAAAGTTACCATGGTAAGTCATGTGACAACAGTGAACTTCCAGTGACTAGACAAACACGATGCATCGAAAGAAACCATTCGTATTTCAGTTGTTTGTGTGCTTCATCTTCTATTTATGTAACTCTGTAGTAATGAACCTGACAAGATGCAGCGAAATATGTCTGGCAACAAATTCTGCTATTTGTCTCAAGGGCCTAGAAGTGAAGGGAGAAAAAAATAATCACATGTAGAAGGGAACTAGAGAATGTAAACAGATAGGGAGGACATGGGGGGTGAGCTGCATGCAACAGCAAAGGATAGGACCACTTGGTGTGAGATGGCTGAGGGCCAGTGCTCCAGTGGGAGGGATGAAGGGCAGAAGAGCGAGTCTGGTAGTGTAAAATCCCTAAATTCCTAAAAGCCAAAGTGTCCAATCAATGTCTGCCCATTTTACTCTGCCAACTGCCAAAGTCTGTCTGATAGACATCTGGCCAATGAACCCACTGTCCATTCATCACTTTGGTCGTGCAGGTAGGCGCACAATTTGCTACCGCAACAATAATATATATATATATAGAACATTGTACCTCTTTACCTGTTGCAAAACCACCATTACATCTTGTCTGAATGTCCGATAAGCCCAGCAGCAGAAATCTGAGGCCTGGGAGTCACGACCCAGGCTGGCCTGCCTCTCCAGGTTGTTTAGGACAGCAGTTCTCAACTTGTGGGTCGCAACCCTTTTGTGGGTCAGATGACCCTTTCTCAGGGGTCCCCAAAGACCATTAGAAAACACATATTCACTAAAGTTATGAAGTAGCAACGAAATAATTGTATGGTTGGGGGTCGCCACAACGTGGGGAACTGTATCAAAGGGTCGCCACAACGTGGGGAACTGTATCAAAGGGTCGCCACAACGTGGGGAACTGTATCAAAGGGTCGCCACAACGTGGGGAACTGTATCAAAGGGTCGCCACAACGTGGGGAACTGTATCAAAGGGTCGCCACAACGTGGGGAACTGTATCAAAGGGTCGCCACAACGTGGGGAACTGTATCAAAGGGTCGCCACAACGTGGGGAACTGTATCAAAGGGTCGCCACAACGTGGGGAACTGTATCAAAGGGTCGCCACAACGTGGGGAACTGTATCAAAGGGTCGCCGCATTAAGAAGGTTGAGAGCCACTGGCTCAAGGCAGTTGTTGAAAGTGGACCCACCTACAGGAGATCGGTAGACTCCTGCTGTACATACTCCCATTGTGGAATTCTTATTAATGTCCTTTAAATACCCCAGAATTACTTATTGATGAGATTTATATATTCTTATCTGGCAACTCTCAAAGGGTCTCAAATGCTTTGGACAGGCCGGCCTACCTGCCATCTGATGCTAATGCAACTGCCCTGGAGTGTCTGGAGGGTTTTGTCATGGGCCTGTATGCTGATGTGTTCAGTGCTGTGGTTTCCCTGATCAACAGGTGAGGGGAATCTACTTGTTCTTACAGTCCGTGCTGTGTGGTGTTGGTTGCCTTGTCTGTCCACGTATGCTGCCAATTATTTCTGGCACAGATGTTCCTCCATCCTGTCATGTTATCATTCTTTTTTTTTTTTTTTGCTTGGTGTTAAGCTGTAAACCCCATTAAAAGTTCCGGATGTTCATCCACTTCTCGACTTTAGTCTTGTTCGAGGTCTTGAGTTTTATGTGCAAATCAGTTGTACTGATATACTATGTGGCTTATTTTTTGGCAGACTGTTGGTTCCTCCCCTCTCAGGCATGCACTCCAACTTAGAAGAAAACACCTTTAATCAGTTGACTTCAACGACATGCTTGTTAAGGGAGACAGTAGGTCTATCTCTCCAGTCTCTCATGCCTCCCCCCCCCCCCCCCCCCATATAAGAATTGGGGTCCCAGAACCCACACTGAGATGATGTTATGCTATCCAACATTTTCTTTCTTGGTCTCTCCCCACCTCTGTTCCCCTCCAGCTGTAACGAAAAGCTACTGTCCCCATATTTGTACAGATCACTTGGGTGTTTTCTTCACGATTGAAGTGCATCTGCCTGAAAGGCGAGCCACAAAGAGTCTGCACATGAATAGACCAGATCCATAAAATGGATATGCACACAAAAATAAAGTTCTGGAACAACAACAAAGTTCAAAAGTGGACAAACAACAAAAACTTATTGCAAAAATTACAGCTGATGTACACTAAGAAGAAGAAGAATTTTATGGCTTCGGCTAGTTTCAGCAAACGTTTATTCAATGTTAGTTAGTTAGTTAGTTAGTTAGTTAGTTAGTTAGTTAGTTAGTTACTTAGCTAGTTAGTCGACAGATTATCCTCATTTCACGTTGAACCACTGAGCCCATAAGTGCTTAGATCCCCTCTTCATTAAATCATGTAGCAGCCGACGACACCAGTTCTGCGTTGGCTTATTATTTTTCTTTGGCTACCCACATAGTGTTCTTGTTTTGCGACACCCCCTTTAACTTGCTGTTCTTGCAGTCTGACCATGGTTGCAGATTCACAGTTATCAGTTGATTCACTCGAACATCTTAAAATCTCGTAGAGCATTCAGTATATATTTATTCAATGTATGTTACTGAGGGAGAAGGAGGTCAATACATGGCTGGTGAATTAGGTTGCAGCTGTCCTGTATTCACGTCCGGTTGCTCTCCGACTGGGCTCATGGACGTCTGAACCATGCACTTTGGCCCCAGGACTGCCACAGGGATCCACCATCTCGCCTGTGCTCTTCAACGTGTATATGAGCAAGATTGCAAGTCTAGAAGCCCTAGGAGTTGGAAGGATACTGACTTTTGCGGATGATATACTTGCATATAGGCAGGGGGAAGAGAGGGAACAAACAGCCCGGAAGCTACAAGCGACAGAAGACAAAGTGACTGAGTGGTGTACAGAAATGAAGGTTGTCATCCACCCGGAAAAGGCGTCTGTTTTGTGGTGTTCTCTGGACAACAGAATCGTTAAAACTAATGTCCCAAGTCTCACGATAGATGGTAGAGACGTCAACAGAGAGAGCAAACTGAAGTATCTGGGAATTACATTTGACAGGAGCCTGTCATTTAAGGACCATGTGGAGAGTATTGTGACAAGATGCCAAAAAGGACTTAGCGCACTTAAGACTATGGCTGCAATTGACATAGAGCAGAGAATGCTTTTCACACTATATCAGCACCTGATCTTGTCAGTGGTGGATTATGGCCTGGGACTGCTACCGTCTCAAAGAGTCAGATGGACAAACTAGAGCACATACAGAACGCGGCTATGCGGGTCATTCTGGGTTGCACCAGAGACACCCCAGTGGTGTGTATGCGATACATCCTTGGTTTGCCGACGGTTGCAGGTAGGCACAAGGTGATGCAGGCGAAGTTATATCTCAGGGTAGCTGCAGACACAGACCACCCTCTGCATGAAGCTCTGGGTGCAGTTAAGGGTCAGCGGCAGATGAGGGAGGTCATGGATGGCTCAGGCAGAAGACACAATCAGACAGGTTAAGTCATATCTCAGGGTAGCTGCAGACACAGACCACCCTCTGCATGAAGCTCTGGGTACAGTTAAGGGTCAGCGGCAGATAAGAGGGAGGTCATGGATTGCTCAGGCAGAAGACAATCAGACAGGTTTGCATCCTTGAGAACATTAGGTGAGGAGAGGAGTGGGTCAAAGTGCCACTTGAGCAGTCAGACTTGTGTAGAGTCATAATCATGCTAAGCCGGTAATGCAGAGACTGGCCAGCAGGTGCCACAGAGGTGGAAATTCAGCAGTTAATTCAAGATAATGCTCGCTCAGAGGATTTGATCATTTACACCGACGGTTCAGTGTCAAGAGGCAAAAGAAGTGCTTGGGGCTTTTTAGCAAAAGTTAATGGTCGACGTTTGGTGCAGGAGAGCCTAGCATATGATACCACAACATCCAGCTTAAGAATGACGGTGGAGGCGGTCACTGCAGCTTTCCGCTGGCTAGAGAACATGACACACACACACATTGTAATTGTAACTGATTCAGAAAGCATGCTGAGGAAGATCAGAACAGGTATGCTTCGTGCAGAGTGGCATGCTTCGCTGCGGAGGACACGGGTGAGGAGTATTGTCTGGATTTTTTCACCGGATCACGCTGGTGTGTTGGGAGGTGAACAGGCAGACAGACTGGCTGGCTTTGCACAACTTGGTGGAATACTGCTACATGATAGGACAGACGTGGTTAGTGCCTTGTGGGAGAGTGTGTACAATGCGGAGGAGCAGATGGATCACCACAGTTTGGTGAGATTGATGCAGTTAGGGGTGACAAGAGGTTCTGGCAGAAGCTCAAGGCTCAGAGGAAAGGCAAGACGGACGTTTAATCAGAAAGCTACTGGCACCATTAGTATCGGAGCTCTCCGCTGACTGCTGAAGATGGGGATGGAGCGCTTATGGGAATGCCCCGAGTGCTGTGATGTCGGTTCTTGAATCAAATCAAATCAATGTATGTTAAGTAACTTTGAAAACACTATCATTTTACGTGAGAATTTTTTTTTCAATGGAACTTTACAGACTGACATAAATTGAGTTTGTCTGTATAAATCCTGACCTTGAACAACTTGGAATCAGAACAAATTGTGCAAGTAAATTTTGCAATGGAGTTAAAACACTGACTTGGAAACCGAATGCCTGGCCGTGCTGGTCACATTACTTAGCTGACAAAGCCAGAGCTTCAGCACCTTCAGCAGCAGCAGAAGGAAGAAATTGCAGCACTGTTTTGTTTTTATGGAGAGGAAGAGGTGGAAACTGGAAGGATAAGCTCCACTGGTATGTAAGATCTGTTGACCGTGTGGTCCAAAATGCAAGTAGTTGTTGAGAAGTGACACCCTGATAAAGCCTTACTTAACAGGTATGTTCACTTACTCAGTGAAAACATTATTGAACGTTTTAGAAACATTTTTAATGATGGCCAACACCTGAACACTTTGAAACTCTGGTTGTTAACAAAAACTAGTCACCCCGAACCCTCAACAAATGATGAATGACTACCATATGAAACACCAGAAAGGATCCTTGATGTTATATTGTAAGGTGACCCAGCGTCCAAACAATAATCTCCCAAAATCACCCTTCACCGTCCTCTTACTTCTATATGCTATGTCACCATTTTGATCAAGGTACAGTAAATACAGTGTTTTCTATACGTGTTTATTCATTTATGTTTGTATTCAAATGTGGTCATCAGATGTTACTATAATTACAGTTGACTGTATTTAGGACAATACATTTTAAAATGTGAGCTTGTTGAAGCCAGGAATAACATTCAATTAGTTTCCATTATTTTCATGGGGGGAAAATTGGCCTTGGAACTCGAACGAGTTGCAGTTCAGTCTGAGAGCAGATTATGTTGAAATTCCACCACCACATAAAAAAAAAAAATTCAGTCGATGTCTGAAGAAGAATCATCCTCTTGTGCATTTGCTCTTAAAAGGGTGGTTTGCACAAGTGTTGTGGTTTACAGCTAGGCTGCGATATCTGTGACTTTCAACATATATAATTTCATCAGATTCTTAAATAAGTCACCTTTTACTTCTAGCGTCTTCAGGGACAGTCCGACACCCCTCCCCTTCCCTCCCACCCAACCCAAAATGGGGCACCAGTACCCAAACGGGGATGGAGAACAGTGATGAAGAAAATCAAAAGAGATGATATACTTACTTATTTAGTGGCTCCTCTACTACCTTGGGGTGTAGAGGTTTGCCAGAGAGATCGCCAGACTTCTCTATCAGCAGTTTTCTTTCTAGCTTTGTTCCATTCCAGTCCTCTGTCAGTTAGGGACTGTCCTATATTGTCTCCCCAGCGGACCCTGGGCCACCCTGGAGGCCTGGTTCCCTGGTTCTTAGGCTCCCATGCCTGCCATGATGGCCAATTTTCTCACATTCTGCATACATATCCAAACCATCGTAACTGTGACTGATCCACTCGGGTTAGTAAGGGCTGGGTATCAAGATCTTGACGTATTGTCTGATTGCGGACTTTGTCCCTTCTTGTCACTTGGACCACCTTTCTAAAATATCTCATTTCCGAGGCCTGCAGCTGGCTTCTGTGAGCTGTTGTCATTGCCCATGACTCACACCCATAGGTCAGGACTGGTACATAGGTAGAGCGGTAAACAGCCATTTTCGTCCTCCTGCCAATTTCTCTTTTGCTAAGAAACCCTCGGTTTATAGCCTGGAAGAGTCTCCCAGCAGCTGCTTTTTGTGTAGCCAGCTCAGTCTTAATGCGTCCATTTTGGTCTAATACAACTCCAAAGTAATTGAACTGGTTAACCTGCTCCAATGCATACTGTCCCATCATGATCTGGTGTTTCTTCTCCTCTCTTGAGATCACCATGGTTTTAGTTTTGGAGATACTGATGGTCATCCCTCTAAAAGAGATGATATAATTATGATATAACTCATATGAAAAGATGGTCACACAACATTGCTAATTTCCATCAATCAGTCAGTCAATAAGGTGCTGTCTCCACAGTGAAGGTTGGCAGCAGTGGATCTCTAACATGCTCTGTCTCTTGTCTTGGTTGTAAACTCTCTCATACTGCTGCCTGTTCATCTCTTGATATTGTCAACCCACTTGTATCATTGCCTACCTCTTGCTGCCTTGCCTTCAACCTTTCCCTCCAGTATGGCTGCATGCAGTCGTGGGACCTAGGCTGCACTCTCTCATGGGACGTAGGTGGGTTGGGGTTAGGGCCAGTTCTAGATGTTGTGGGGCGTTAAAAGCATCAGAAAGCCGGGAAACCCAGTCTTAACACCCTCTAAAATGTTGGACTGTTCTGTAACGTCATCTGGGTATAGGATTTTACGAAAGAACTGTGTATTATGTCTTTTTATGTAGACAGAGTATTTCAGTTCTCTCTTTTTTATATCTTTCAGTAATTGTCTTTTCATTTGTAGTCTTTTTCAGAACCTCTCCATGGGACAGTTTTTACTCAACTAATTTCCTTAGATTTCGACTAATCATTCTTATTTTCTTCCCATCACAGAGCTCTGTCGTCCAGCGTCCGTGCTATCAATTCAGTAACAATTGTTGACTGCCCTGGATTCCAGAGCTCAGGAGCTGGTGTCAGCTCCTCTAGTCGAAGTCAGGGAGCCAGTTTCGAGGACTTGTGCCACAACTACACACAGGAGAGGCTGCAAGCTTTCTTTCATGAGGTTGCCTTGTCCACGCCACAAGATTTGTATGAGGAGGTTTGTCAATAAATTTATGAATGTATGATGCGTTCTTTGGGCTTCTAGGTAGGAACCTGTAAACATATGATGTGTTCTTTGGGCTTCTAGGTAGGAACCTGTAAAGGTATGATGTGTTCTTTGGGCTTCTAGGTAGGAACCTGTGAATGTATGATGTGTTCTTTGGGCTTCTAGGTAAGAACCTATAAACGTATAATGCATTCTTTGGGCTTCTAGGTAGGAACCTGTGAATGTATGATGCGTTCTTTGGGCTTCTAGGTAAGAACCTATAAACGTATAATGCATTCTTTAGGCTTTTGAGTAGGAACCTATGAATGTATGATGCGTTCTTTGGGCTTCAAGGTAGGAATCTATAAATGTGTAATGTGTTCTTTAGGTTCTAGGTAGGAACCTGTAAACATATAATGTGTTCTTTGGGCTTCTAGGTAGGAACCTGTAAACATATGATGTGTTCTTTGGTCTTCTAGGTAGGAACCTGTAAACGTATGATGTGTTCTTTGGGCTTCTAGGTAGGAATCTGTGAATGTATGTCGCGTTCTTTGGGACTCCGAGAGTTAACCTATGCATTGCTGAGTTTAATTGAATCAGTTAAGGAAAAGAATAATTTCTTTTGAGGGGCAAAATCCTCTGGAGCATGAGGGTGACTGATTAGAAGATTGCTAACCTTGGATGTGTTTGCATAAAGGTGCAGATATCACAGCATAGCTGTAAACCACAACACAACATGCCAGTTGTCCTTTTAATGTTACACACAATAGAGGAAACATGCCTTCTGTTTTGTGATTCTAATATTTTTAAATTATTCCCAGTGTGGATTCCTGGACCCCATTGTGGGGAGAACAAGAATAGACCCACTGCCTATCAAAAAGCATGTCGTAAGAGTCGACTAATTGAGAGCTTCCTTTGAAGTCAGAGTGCATCTGCCTGAGAGGAAAGGAAACTAGTCTGCATTGAAGTGAATCAGATCTGTAAAACTGATGCACACGCAACACTCAGGTTCTGGAGCAGGACTGCAGTCTAGAAGTGGACGAACAACCAGAACTTTCCGCCAGGGTGTACAGCTGGTGAACGCGAAGAAGAAGAAGATGAATTATAATAAGTTCTTCAGCATGACTATTTAACAATATGGGATCTGTGGCAGACATTAACAAATATGAGAGGTCTACATGTCTTAGCTAGAAGTCATCATGGTGTAGTGACTAGACACTTGCCTACAGACCCAAAGGTTGTGTGTTCCAATCCACATCAAGCTGAATTTCTTTTCCTCAGAAACGTTCTTGGTGCTCCAAACCAAGGGGCTCCTACAGCCCAGCCTTTAATTGGTGCCAGGTAAAGTCTTAGGAAGTAAAGGCAGCCAGCGAGATGTTGACCACATCACACACTGAGAAAAATAGGTCTAGCACAATAAGAGGTGTGTGTGTGTGTACATATGTATAAATAATACCCATGGAAAAGGATCCTTTATTTAACAAGTCTTAGCTAATTGGGAACCCCTGCTCTTCCAAAACTAATGTGGTAAAAATAGGGGTGACTGCAGTCTAATACCAAGGAATTAATCCGATGAACAGTGACTGAAAAGCTTACCGAAATGGGGAAGCAGAATAACGTGCACAAAACAACACAGATGAACGTTTCGGCGCTGGGCCTTTCTCGACATGAACTGAACTAAACGAGAGTACTCCAACCACTAAGTGGTCAAGTGAGAAACTATTTTTTTTTAAAAAGTTGATGTGGAATGAAACAACACCACCAACAAAAAACTAACAGTTTCTCAACATGTCTTTTAACAGGAAAACATCATCCTAGACTTTGACATCATGCCATCCAGCCCATCCTCACTCATTAATCTGCTGGACAAGCCTCCCCAGCAGGGGCTGGTAAGTGTTCTCTGTAGTTGTTTTCTTCCCCTCCAGGAGAGTGGCAAGCTTCACTGGGAAGGTCATGGGTAGTGAGGGTACTTTAGATCTTTTCTCCACCAGGCTTTGCTGGCGTAGTGGGTAATAACAGGCAGACAGATTGGCTGGGTCTGCACCACTAGGTGGTGAATTGATACATGACAAAGCACATGTGGTCAAGGCCCTTTGGGAGTAAGCAACGGAATCAGTAGAAAAGCAAGATTATTAATCCCTGGAGAGAATGAGGCACCTGGGTGTAACCAGAGGGTCTGGCCGGCTCACTTCACTCAGAGGAAAGGCAAGACGGACATATAACCAGACTGTGACCGGTACCATCAGTATTGGAACTCTCCACTGGCTGCTGAAGATGAGGAAGGAGCTCGCATGGGAAGGCCCCGAATGCTGTGATGTCAATTCTTGACTCAACTCAGCTCTTTCCCTCCAGGAGTGAAGCCTGTACGATCATCAGCTCAAGGATGAGAACCTTCTTTGTGTTCACTGGCTGTAAACTGTGGTGACAGTCTCTGGTTGTTTGTCCACTTCTGGACTTTAGTCTTGTTCACTGGCTGTAAACTGTGGTGACTCTTGGTGTTTGTCACTTCTGGACTTTAGTCTTGTTCACTGGCTGTAAACTGTGGTGACAGTCTCTGGTTGTTTGTCCACTTCTGGACTTTAGTCTTGTTCACTGGCTGTAAACTGTGGTGACAGTCTCTGGTTGTTTGTCCACTTCTGGACTTTAGTTTTGTTCACTGGCTGTAAACTGTGGTGACAGTCTCTGGTTGTTTGTCCACTTCTGGACTTTAGTCTTGTTCACTGGCTGTAAACTGTGGTGACAGTCTCTGGTTGTTTGTGGTGACACTGGACTTTGTTTGTCTGGACTTTAGTTTTGTTCACTGGCTGTAAAACTGTGGTGACAGTCTCTGGTTGTTTGTCCACTTCTGGAC